CTTAGTGAGGCATACAGACTTTCAATCAATGAGCATAATATAAAGGTTAAAAAGAATGGATTTCATTTTTAAATGAATAGATTAAGCTTGAACTGTAACAATTTAGGTTAAAGTAAGTAAAAAATGTTTGATTTTGTTCTTTTAGGATTTTATCAAGTTTCTGAATAAATTTCCTTTTTATACATGTTTGTTTCCTACAATTTTAAAACAAAGGCTACAAATTTTCTGGTGCAGCACCCCCCCTAATTTTAGCTACGAGCCGCCACTGTTAAACATTTAAAATGATAAATGCAACATTTCACTTAAAGTGTAGTAAATTTGGAAAAACTGGAGTTTATTTTTCTAATGTTCACGCTACATTCAGAAACGTATATAGAATCAGTGTATTGATCCACACTGCTTCAAAAATGATTTCTTGGTATAGTAAGCCTATGAAAATTAAGAATAATAGCATCATATTATCTAAGAAATTCAGCTGGGTGTGTTAGTTGTGAAAACATTCCACAAAGTCCCACGTCACATCAGTACACAGTTTTGACACAGAACACACCGTTTCTGTTGTCTTGATTTCTTTGCAGTTGGTAAAATCTTGGTTATAAAATATCTTTCTCTTAGACGGGGCACTGTTTTGTCGGATGAATGTTGACCTGGCACTTTGTGTTCTACAGCATCAGCATATTTCACAGAGAGTCCCTCAGTTAACTGAATTCTGATTGACAATTGATCTATTCTTTTCCTTGTGTTATTCCTACATAATATCATTGCATTCAGATATTTTCCTTTTGTCCCTTATAATTCTGCATATTCTCCCAATGGATGTTTGTGCTATGCTCGATTCTGTCATTTACCACAGAATCGAGAAAAGCACAAACATCCATTTTTAGTGTCAAATTCCAAATCTCATAAAACTTTGGACTAATTTGGTTTGAAGTAAATATATCCTCCACTGGTCATCAAGAAACACAGCTAGCAACTTAGCTGCTCGTGGCTGGCCTTGTCAGCTAAAACCAGACTGCATGATGCGTATTTATAGAACAAAGGGGAATTACAGCAGTACCATTTATATAGCGAACTGTTTATCGTTTGCTACATGCCAGTCATAACACTTCTTAGAGTCAACATCACGTCTCAAAGTCGCAGATTCTCCACGCTTTCTCATGGTTACGAATTCCAATCTAGAAGCAACACTGGTCAGAATAAGCCTCAAGATAATTGACTTTTCATTCGATCAGCACCCAAGGAAGCACACAGTATCGATCTAATGTATTTAGTTCATAAGAATTCCCCTAGGGGCGAGGATAGATTTGTATGGTATTAAGCACACCAAGTGCTGAGGTAGAAAACTTTTTCAAAGAATTCAAATGTAATACAACTGCCGCAGAAAGTTCAAAGCGGGCAGTGAATATATGAAATGATAGCCTGAAATTTCCTCTTTAATTTCATAGCAAAAGAATTATTTTACATGAAAAATAACATTTCAAAATACAAGCTGAACCTTAGTGTTGCACTACGTGTGCCAGGTATGGACTTCGGCGGCATGTATCAGAAGCCGCTGGCGCGCCATGGACAGACTATGGCACTGAGGGGTTAAAGCAATATGTAAGTACTGTGGTACAGTTTCCAAGTGTGATTCAAATCCTCATTCCCAATATTTATGTTTCAATTGCATAAGTAGATCTCTTAGCATGAGCACTATTCCTTCTTTAGAGTTTCAGCCACTACATACTGTGACACTGATACTGCAGACAACCATACCGTGTGGAGAACAGCTACTCCATACACCAGAAAACGTGCAAGACAGAAACCAAGTCAGCAGGGGAAGGTACATCTGTATAATCTGAAAGCTAACATTTCATAACACGATTCACTCTGCTTTATCTTGACGCACGGCACTGGACTCCAGCACTTCTGGACGTCAGGATGATGCAGCCTCAGGGCAAAGCATGACCTTCTGAATACTGTACTTACTTCTGGTGTTGAGAAGAGTGCAAGCCAATCTGGATTGATCAGTGAGCGGAAGCCCTTGAAGAAAGCAGCTGTCTGATCTTTAATCTGCGTGTGCATTCTGAAGTGGGCCATTAAATGGATGTAATTAATTCTGTTGAGGAAAGATTAAACAATAGTACAATTACTGGTAAGTATATTTAAGGTACAATGAACAATTCAACACTTTTCTGACAACACAAATTTGAGTTACTTGTTCTCATTGGTGACAGGAATTGCTTTTCCTCCGGGAACCAGCTCATGTGTAACCAGCCTCCCAAGGCAGTCTTCATCCACAGAGAATGTCAGATCCAAATCTTGCACGTCACCCTGGTGGTGCTTCACAAAAGTGAGACTGCGGTACAGCTCTCGGTCGAGCGATGGCAGTTCATCCATGGAACTGTACAGGGCCTGGTGCTGTTGCCCCAGCAACTGGCTCAAGAAAAATGAAGCAAAGGGAACATCTACTACGATGCCCTGCAACAGAACAATACTCACCATCTGCATCTTCGACAAAAATGTAACTTATTAGGATAGCTGGTCTGTGGTTGAGTTCTTTCATCTGTGAAACTGTACACTGGTTAGCACCTGCCTGTTGCAGTATGCAGTCTCTATTTGGTGTGTTACAGACTTTGCTAGTGTCCCACTGGAGAACGAAGTTACATACTGACACCCTAGGTGCTGGGATGCCACAGAGATTATGTTCAAAGATGATGAGCACTGCTTTCTGGGGTGTGACGCCATGCAGTTTGGTAGAAGTGCAACCACATTTTGGAGGAATGTACTGCCTCCATCTCTCACTTGTTCACTGGTTGCTTGTTTGACTTACACTTCAACTCTGAAGTGTCAGTATGTCTGCCTGAAATGCAGCAAATTCCTACCAGACTATATGGCATCCCAAATGACAGTACTCTTCATAGTCACTGTTGCAACTGCAAATCATCAAATTTAGTCATTTGGTGATTGTGAGACACCACACTGAACGGTGTTTAATTGTGCCTGTCTGATACATAAACCACAACATTTACGAAATGGGTTCTAGTGACATCTTCAGATGGAGAGGAACATATGACAGATGAGGCAGGAACTTGATTTTTAAATATCAGATGAACTTGCTACATGAAAGCCACAGTCACCTCATAAACAGCCTTCCCAAGCATGCGTCCAACGAACTCAAACAGCTGCAGATGATTGTCTTGCATGTACGATGTAGGTGACGGATACAGCCTCTCTTCATTCGTCACTCGAAACAGATTTAGGGATGGATCAAACACTCTCTTTATTGTTTCTTCTAGGAATTCTGAAAGAGAAGCTTGGTATCATGAAAGAAATCCTTATGCAATATGAAAAGTTTAACCAGTACTTTGCAGTCACTAGAGCCCATCATAGTGTCATGTCATGGCGTTAACTACAGATGGAGTTTGGATTGGTAATCAGATTTACTGCACACTTTTGCAAATCATTATCACACACAGACCAGTCTTCTCAATCATGGTCTTCACTAGCCGTTGATTGGTAGTGGCTTCCAACACCAGGTGTTCCCCTTCCTCTGGGTTCCCAAACTATCCTTGGCCTCAGCTATTGCAACTCTCAACTGACTGTCTGTCTCTAGACTGCTTAGTTTGCCAACCTGTCCTTGTTGTTTAGCCCCGGCATGGACTGTATATAAAACACTGTCTTCTATTGTTGTGTTCGTGTGTTGGGGTGACACATGATCGCTACAATGCCATTGCTAGAATAGCACCACCACATATTTAATGCACTGTCACTTAGCAATGCACATTGCTTCCCTGATTAAATTATTCCAGCTTTCAGCAGACATGTCACAATAACAAACCAGAGGCAGTGAAATTTTTCAAAATTATGGCTTTGTGGAATGAGATGCGGTGCAGTTTGGTAAACATGCCTGCCATATTACTGAAGCAGATGACAGCGCTATGCTCTTATGTGCATCAACATCACAAGTGGGACACTTCTGAATGACTTTTGTGATATGTTACATCATTAAATAGCACTCAGGTTAAGTTTTATATAAGTTTTTACTGAGGAATTTTGCATTAAAAACCCCTTATTTGTAGTAAATCTGCATCTCAGTTTCAAACTTCCATGACTCCTTAATCTTTCAAAACTGAATCCAGGCTAAAAGAACTCTTCTTGTTTAGAATCATTTGATTAACAGACCCATGAAGTTCAACAGACTCCTCCTGAACCACTCTGTACATTACATTTAAATCAACTGACACTGTGCATGCCATTTGATTTTTTTGGTGAAACTTCTATCTGAACGCAATTTTAGGTGTTTCATAAAATTCTCATAACTGTCCTGATTCATTCCAAAACAAACTTTTTATAGCTAATGCAATTTCTGGAGATTTCACAGTGGCTAAAGTTGATAAAATCTTCTCGAGCTAACAGCTGTGTCATATGATTAAAAAATTATCAAACTTTCAGGGACCATCTCTGGCCTCATGTGAGAATGTAAAATTTAACCATCTGACAAGGTTGAGAGCCTGAGATGATTTTATGAATTTTCACAGCAACCAACTTAATGCAGAGTGAGAACAAATGATCTTTACGCTGTCACGAATTTATTTTGAAGCAATCAGGGAAGATGCAACATCCATACATTTATACATTAAACTACATCCATCAACTTTCGTTTTACGACTCAGAAGTGTTTCATATACGCACTGCTAGTAACTCTGTACACATCATGTTAGTATTCCAGTTCTGTTAGCAGAAACCGCAGCAAAGGCTTTGAGAGTGGATCAACTCCAAATTGCATCTAACAGCATTATTGCAGTCACTTCACATTTGGTTTTAATGAACTATGTAACGCACTTTGCTTTTGCAGAGGTGACATCACCTTCTTGCCTGCAGTGCCCCTGGTGGCAAATCACTGAAAGTGGAGGAGCACACTTTGATTCAAAACTGCTAGTTTTAATCTAACATCTGAAAGTATAGATGTACACATTTACCTGACTGTTTCACAATAAATTTCCAAAACCGTGATCATATGTCCTCACCCTGTACAGTTATAAGATACATATAACAAATATATGTGATACATCGCTGAACAGCTCAGTGAAACTGAAGCTCATGTAACATGGCCAGCTTCCCATCCTGAAACATGCCAAAGTGCGGTGGGATTTTAACAAAACAATGTACTCTGCATCACAGCATGAAGTAAGTAAGGAACAAGTAAGGTAGAGGTATCCCTGGAACAGGGTGTGAAGGCCTATAGGGTTGTGAGATGTTGAGGATCCCACATTTTCTAGACAATTGGCTCACAGATGGCGGTGAGGCTGTCAGCCTTATGCGCCGGCTGCCCTTTACCCCCAGGAATATTCCTGGTACTCGTTTCTGTTAGAGGCTGAGTGAACCCCAGGCCATAGTGTGCCTGGAAGGATTTTCTTTTATTGCTAGTGGGGTGGGACTAAGTCCCTTGTACTGCAGCCACATCTGGCCTATTGTACCAGCCCCAGATGATACATGAGGGTGATTGTGGAGCAATTGGTGGAATGAAGATTGGCAGGGGAAACCGAAGTACTTGGAGAAAAACTACCCAGTGCCACTTTGTTCACCACAAATCCCACTTGACCAGACCGGGGATCGAACCAGGGCTGCCGTGGTGGGAAGCCAGCGACTAACCACTTCAGCTACAGTGCGGAAAGGCTGGAAGGATTAGGTAAATTGAAAAAAATTCACCTCATCAGGATTCGATCCCGCGACCTTCCGGCTTTTAGCATAGTGCCTAAACCAACTAAGCTACCGCGCGCCCCCTTCACAGCATGAAGAGCTAAAAGAAAAAAAAAACAAGCTGAATAGAATTTCATACCTTTGAAGACTCCATCCTGATCAATTCCTGCTTCATCTAGACCCTGTTCGTTGATGAACCTGACCCTGATCACTCCTTTCAGAGCCTGTGGGGGCAGCAGTGCAAGCTGCCTGTACCCATCCTCCACAATGCGACACCTGCGTCACAGCAGACACAGCATTGCCATTACATAATGATGTCATTATCAAAACTTTACAGTATCAGCTTCAACATCCACATATTCTGCATTCTGCCCACATTGTGTATTTATGTGTTCCATATGATTCTCACAATAAACAGTCATTATTTCCCTAAACACTATTAACCAGTTGGGCTTTGTAGCGGAGACATAATGTGCTTCCTGTGAGGTACAAACTGAACTCTGCATTCTGCTCACACAGTGTATTTATGTGTTCCGTTAGGTTCTCACAATAAGCAGCGATTATTTCCCTAAACAGCATTAACTGGTTGGTCTTTGTAGCTGAGACGTAATGTGTTTCCTGTGAGGTACACACTGAACTCTGCATTCTGCCCACACAGTGTATTTGTGTGTCCTGTATGGTTCTCACAATAAACAGCGATTATTTCCCTAACAGCATTAACCGGTTGGTCTTTGTAGCAGAGAAGTAATGTGTTTCCTGTGAGGTACGAACTGAACTCTGCATTCTGCCCACACAGTGTATTTGTGTGTTCCGTATGATTCTCACAATAAACAGCAAATATTTCCCTAAACAGAATTAACCAGGTGGTCTTTGTTATGGAGACAGAACATTTCCTCTGAGGTACAAATTGAATGTGTATATATTATTTATTTTAATTCCAGGCTTCAAAAAGGAGAGAGGGAGCTGCATGACTCCCACAATCATGAGACAGTAGAATATGGTCATGAGCCATTTGGGACTCGGAACCAAGACTGACTGTGCTGGCAAGGGCAGGCAGCAATTTACCATACCAGATTAGGCTTCAAAGGCTCTAATAATGTATATGAAATTCAGCAGTTTATTCTTGGATTTAATATAATGCGACATGTTGACCCCTACCCCCCCCAGCAGTGACGCGGCNCAAAAGAATCTGTCATCACAATATTTATTTTATCTAATAAACTTTTGCCACCATTTTCATTATTTCTGTTAAAAATGAATTAATGGGGCCAAAGTTCTACTAAGTAGTACAGTTCAGCAACAGAACATTTAAATATTATGTTATTATGAAGCTGCATTTTAACACTAGGCTAAGAGTTTCTATGGATTTGTACAGGAAATGTTTGATGCTGGACCTGCTAAACTACACACAGTAGTGTGACACTTCACTGGTAACTGCTGAAGAGATTAGTTCATATGAAATGAGCAAATCGGCCTTCACAGTTTATAGGGACATAATGTGAAATGCCAAAACGAAAATATTGTCACATATAAAGGGTTAATATGACTAATAATTCTGGGTTCTGGATTTGATGATTGGATTTACTGACCACTATTACAATTACACTTGATTATAAGAGTTCACACACTGAACACCTCCTGGATAATGAATCTCTCACTGCTATCTTGATCTCCAGCTGGTCTCTACTCCTCGAATTCACTACTTGTTATCATTGCTAGGCTGCCAGCATAGAATACATTAACTTCAAGGGTTCCACTACTGCATTTCATGTCCGCACTGAATTGGACACACCTGCAATACTGTGGTAACCAACTCCATTGTCCAACAATAGCTTAATGCTCAGTAAAGTGTTTAGATAACCGTTGCCTAGCAATATGTAACAATATGAATATCCTCATGAAATGATATACTGTAATTCTGTCATACAATTTAACCCAGTATTATCCCATGTCAAAAGGATTCCACTGCCAATTTACAAATTTACTGTCATGTTCATGGTAGCACAGTTGGTTGAGGCGCTGCCGCGGGATCGAATACCGCTAAGGTCATTGGATTTTTCGATGGACCTAATCTTTCCAGCACCATTATGGCTCTGGGACTGACTTAGCCTCTAACAGAAATGAGTACCAGGAATTTTCCTTGGGGGTAAAGAGCAACCGACGCATAAGGCTGACAACCTTACTGCCATCTATGAGCCAAATTTCTAGAATATGTGGAAGCCTTGACCTCTCACACCCTTATGGGCCTCCATGGCCTGTTACAGGGATAGCTTTACCTTTTACTGTCATGTTAGAACAGTATACTGACTGTTACATCCTAGCCCCTCACACTGTTTAATACATCTTCCAGTAGTTTACACGCAATAACAAATGACAACAATTCTTTATTTGCCACTATCAAAGTGTCTGTTCTTAAATTCCTGCAAAACTTAATCTGCAGCTGCTAGGAGTGAACTTGGAAATGAAAATGACAAGAACACCAGGACTTACTGTAGCATCCTATTTTGGAGAGAAAGCTGATCATGAAACAATAACTTATCTTCTAACAAAATTTAGCACCTAAAGAGAAAATGAGCACATTACCTATGCACAGTAATGAGAGTTGACTGTGGTGAGACACAGGCCGATTCAGTAAGCCCAAGCACTGTCTTCTCATTTGCCACATATCTTCGAAACAACTGAACCCTCTCCTCATGGGGAATGATATGTGGCATTTTCTGAAGGAGTACCTGTAGCAATATCAATATAGCTTTGTGAGATAACAGTTTTATAGAATCCCATGTAATCTGGTACATAGGTATAAACATTTTAATTGAGTCTGATTTCTCCATCTTCAGTGCATGTTCTTCCAAAATATTGGTACCTACCTACCAGACTACACAGTGTCACATTCGAGAAGACTGTGCCTTAACATTCGCCACTGTAGATACCTGAAATCTTCTAACATAAAAAGGGGGGGGGGAACACAACAACAACAACAACAAAAAAACAGACAAACAATATGACGAGATAGAGAAATGTAAGTAAAACTTGTTGATTTTTAACATTCTCAAATCTGCATAACAATTCCAACATCTGCATGTATAACAGTTATTTTTAAAAGGAGAAACACTGGAAACATCACACAGCAGAATTTCAAAATTCTGAATCCCCCTACAGTCCCCCTGTAACACTGGTACACACCTACTGGAATGGTGATTGGTGTCACAGCCCACATGACCTCGACAATAAAACCACTGTCAAGCAACAGCCTCACCTTCAAAAGCTGCCTCACACATCACCTATGCAACTGTGAGGCTCTAGGCAAATTAACATCCTGTAATAGGGGATTCCATTTTATGAAGCCAAGTGATAATCAAAACGCAACATTAAGCAAATGAACTTCATTCAAAGAAGAAAGGCTCCCACACACAGACGCGATACGATTCGGGACGATATAGCACTCGGGACGAAAGCGGCTGTTTACCGAGTAGGCCGCGCACACAGATGCGACACTCGGGAACTCGGGAATCTTTGACACCCGATAACCAGCTGGCCATGACTCACACTCAGTCAGTATCTATACGTACGTGAAAAGACATGGGTAGCCAAATGGAGCAAATAATAGAGTTCGTCAAAGAAAATGCTTTATTGTACGATACTCGTCATCCGATGTGCAAGGATTCACGTGCTAAGGATAGAAAGTGGAAGGAATTGGCTGTTACAATGAACAGAGACAGCAAGTAGAAATATTTGTATATATTTATATAGGGTTAAGTATACAGTAACTGTGGGCATTCTTAGTTTAGGCTATGCACCAGTCCCGTTCACTAACACGAATTCCAGGAGCAGTCATCTAGTTGAAGTACGCAACAAACCGCTCTCTAATGGCGTAGCTAACNCCGAAATACCGAGGCGATATACCGACTGCGATAATATCGCGTTCCTCGGAGTACCGCGCCAGTGTGCGGACCTCCATTTACCGCAATGTAATTAGATATCTTCCCGTACCGTACCGAGCTGAGTATCGCGTCTGTGTGTGGGAGCCTTAAGACAGGTACAGAACTAATTTCGGAAAGGGGTACCCAACGGATCTTAGATAGCTGCAATGCAAGAGCTGTTTAACACCCATCAAACACCCGTTGCTTTAAACTAATGTAATGTAAAACCCCATAAAAATACTGTACTTATACTGTTTTCACAAACTGCTGAGTTCATGGATTCATGTTTACACAAGTATTCTTTAATTTGTACTTGGGAGGTACTCAGTTTCAGTCTTGGCTGAGACACTGATGACCATGACTGAAGCTTTGCACTGTTGTCCTTAGTCCCTCCAGGCAAATGCTGTCACAATACCTTGAGCAGACCTAAACTGTTTCTCTTCAAATCCCTTCCTGTTCTTCATTTATCACTCATCACACCAGTCAACATTATACGGACTACATACAGTGTTACAAAATAAGCGAAAGGAAGCCACTACAAAATGTAATATTATGCATGAAGTATACATAGTACATAGTTACTACCAACTGCGAACCTGAGTCACTTTCTTGCCCTTTTCGAGGTCACTGATGAAACTTCCAACACGAAGCTCTTTAATAATCCAGTGACTGTCTATGGTGTAGCTTCGTCTGCAGTCCCGTCGATACAGTACCATAAGCAAAGTGTGGGCTGACTGGAACAGTACGTTGGAACCCAGCCCCTTCACATCTGTCCATTCAAAAGTAACAGTCATTTAAGCAAAAGTGATATGCCCTTCTTAAGTGACTATATTCACATTACTTATTACACTCAACAACTTACCAAATAAATTTCCTAAAACACCTTTGTAAAGGAAGTGGTTCAGGAAAGTAGACATATTTACATAATCTGTCAGCCGGAATGGTTTCTGCTGTTCGTACATTTCCAAGTCATCCAGAATTCTGAAACCATAACGAAGTATACAAATGTAGAAAAATGACAGATGCTATAAAGCTCATACCACTCCATGCACGCTACTGCACAGTGCCACATCTGCCTAAAGGTATGTGGTTAGTATAAATACCAAGAAACAGCAGAACAAGTTGGAATTAGCACATTTTAAGGACAAACAAAGGCAGAATCTCACAGAAGGTGCTGGACATGAAACTAACAGGAAAATGGCGAAAAGGAAGACAAAGATTAAGATGGGAACAACAGATTATAAAAAGATGTCAAAGAGAAGGAAGGAAGAACATAGAATAAATTGGAAAGGAGCTTTGGGAAGACAGAGACAGAAGGACAGGCTTAGTTGCCAGATAACCCACATGAAAGTGGAAATGGCAAAGAAGAAAAAGAAATCAGTTTTTTTTGTTCGCTCAAAATTCCTCTCAAATAACTGACTGCACATTCTGTTCAACCAAATTCAAGTCAAGTCAAACATTTTACTAGATACTACCACTGAATACAATAAAATTCTTTTATTCAACCAGCACATTTCATTTTCCTTATAAGGGCAGAGAAAACCCCTGAAGATGTCAGAGATGTGGCTGAAACATGTTGGGTTGGACACAAAATTCTTTCAATGATCAGGAATATCTCTTTCCATTGGACCCTACTGAGGAGGTTCCTTGCCACCCTTTCACCTGAGGACAGAAACAGATCCAGTTTCTGTTCAGAGTACCAGATGATGGGCAAAGTTCAGAAACTCAGTAATTCCAAGTGTGACATAATGTAGCAGAACCCTCCGGACAGGAAAAGAATCTGTATGAAGTTTCATCTGATAGTACTTATATTGCAAGCAATACAATGGTTATGGGGGGGGGGGGCATGCGCGCATGCACACACACACAAAATGTTCATTTTCTCCCACATTATGACACCACTTAAAAATACAATTGCAAATACAAGAATAAATGAAAATTACCCCCTTGAAACCTGAAGTTCATCTAAATAATATTTAAGAATTCAGTTCCTACCTCACAGAGAACACTGCATCTCCACAACCAGGTAATTAATGCTGTGTAGCGAAACAATCGCTGCTTATTGTAAGAATCATACAAAGCACATGATACACTGTTTGGGTAAAAAGGTGGAATTCTTAACTTAAAATCTCTGGTATGTACAGAAATCACCGTGCTCTGAAAGGTTAATTTGAAAATATATACTCAAAAATTAAAAAAAATATCTACCTGTAAATCAGCAATTATTGAGGCATATCACTGTTCAGATCTTGGAACAAAATTTTATCCAATATCTCTCTTGCAAGGTTAAGTCCATATGTAAACGAAATTATCAGGCATCAGCAGTGTGGGTTCCAGCATAATAAATCAATTTTTTTTTTTCCTTGGCACTACAGCCCCAGTGGGCCTATGCCTACCTCCATGAACTTCTCCGTTCACTTCGGTTTTTCTAGATCTTACACATTCGGTAGGACTCCTTGGGCGGGTGATCAACTCGTCACAAACAAACACAGAAAAACGCACGCACACAAACTAAACACCCAGGCCCTGAGTGGGATTCGAACCCACGATCCCAGTCTCCAAGCGGGCGAAGACAGTACATGGCTTAGACAGCTCGGCTACCGTGACCAGCTAATAAATCAGCTACTGATCAGATTTTTTGCATTCATCAGATACTGGGGAGAAAAATGGCAATACAAGGAAACAGTGCATCAGCTATTCATTTGTTTCAAAAAAGCCTATGATTCAGTTGGGTGGGAAATATTTTATAATACTATTATTAAGTTTAGGGTACCCATGAAACTAGTTAGGATTATTAAAATGTGTTTATATGAAACATATAGTAAAGTCTGTAGACATAAGCACCTGCCCGACACATTGCCTATTCAGAATGGACTAAAACAAGGAGATTCTTTATTGTCATTGCTTTTCAATTTTGCTTTAGAGTACACCATTAGCGAGGTCCAGGAAAAGCAGAGGAAATTAAAATTGAATGGGACACGTCAGCTTCTGGTCTATGTTGACGATGTAAATCTATTGGGAAGTAACATAAATACCAAAAACAAAAAGAGACAGACTCTTAATTGATGCAAGCAGGGATTGGCGTAGCAGTAAACACAGAGAAAACTAAGAATATGTTGGTGTATCGTCACCAGAATGCAGGACAAAATCATAACATAAAGACAGCTATTATATCCTTTGAAAATGTGGCAAACTTCAGAAATTTGGGAATAACAGCAGCAAATCTAAATCTCATTCAAGTTTTTCCTTCAGTTTAACCTCACAACACTGTTGTGCACTAAACAAGAAAAAAATGAGTCACAGAAAAGTGGTGCTGTTATATCACAGATTATGTATTGTTTATATATATTTCAGTTTCCATTCACACTGCCGTAACAACTATAGGGGTCTAACAGAATGTACTACTGAAGTACCACTTTAACTCACGTGACATAATGTGTCATACAGTCACAAAAAAGTATCAGCATCTGGAATTCAGGAGCAGAACATTTTGTGTTGACAGCCAGAAGATCGAGGAATGCTTTGAGGCCACAGTTGGGACCGAGGCTGTTAAGGAACAGCCACAGATTGTATAGGATCTTGTCCTGATAACACAGGCCTGCAATGGAACAAAACAGCTTTGCTTCAGAATGCTGTTGGTAGCTCAGATCAGCATCAAACAATGTAACGATTAACGAACTACAGTTCTCATTCAAATACCACACAGACAACATCAATAATTACAAAAACCAAGCTGTACATCAAAACAACAAGCAACACAGCACAGAATACAACCAACATCGCATGGCATTCAAAGAACAATGAGAAAACCTGAAGAATGTCACAAATGCTTCTCTTTTATGTTTCTCACACAAATATACAATCATGTCCAACACAGGTAGCTGAAAGGTAAAAGTAAATGTATCCCTGTAACAGGCCGTGGTTGTGAGATGTTGAGGTTCCCACATTTTCTATAGACGATCGGCTCATAGATGGCGGCAAGGTTGTCAGCCCTACGCACCGGCTGCCCTTTACCCCCAAGAATATTCCTGGTACTCATTTCTGTCAGAGGCTGAGTCGACCTCAGGGCCACAGTGTGGCTGGAGGAATTAGGTCAACTGAAAAAAATTCAATGACCTCACTGGGACTTGAACCCGTGACTTTGTGGCTTGTAGCATAGTGCCTCAACCAACTATGCTACCGTGTGTAGCAACTTGTTTCATTCCAAGCATGGGGCTGCTGGAATTAGCCACAGGAGCAGCTGCACAGGACACACACCGTCATTATGACCAGCCCCTTCATATAGTCTAATCTAGTGAATCTGATGATCACTACTCGTCAGTTGAATCATATTACTCTATTCTGGGACTGTCACCATCTTGGAGGAGGCAGCAGGCTCTGCTAAACCATCAGTATCCATCTGCCATATAATAATCATAATCACTATCATCATCGGCTCAACAGTCCTGTGTGGACCCTGGCTTCAATCAGCCTTCTCTGTTCATAAGATGGTCTAGCCAGCTGTTGCTTCTTCAGTTTCTGTGGCATTTTTTATCCAAGGTTGAGTTGTCAGCCCAATGCCCAAGCCCAACGCCCAGCAATCCTGGAGGGCCAATGTTGTCTCCCTTAGCCGGTTGGTCAGGTCACAAGCTGGAAGCATCAGGAACTCACTTTTTGCACTCATCTGACTTAGCTATAAAAGACGTTGCCCGGGGGTCATGACATGGACATGCATGCATTGGACTTGGCAGACATAAATGGTGTTACCCAAGATTTTATAGCACACAGCCACCAGCAATACATGCACCCTCAGAACCTCACATTACCCCTTCAATCCCCCCAGTACCACATCCCATTCTACTGTTCACTACTGTGACAATCTGGAATCTCAAGCATTTGCCCAATTTGTGTGGCATGTAGTGTTATGTATAACTGATATGGGGGGGGGGCACTGGCCTGAAAGCTGCAGCATACAACTGACATGCATACTTCACCTGTTAGGATGTCCAGCTTCAGCTGTGTTAGAGTCCCGAGCGCCGTCTGGTAAAGGGAACAGAGCAACGCCACTTTAGTGCACTCAGGACTGCCAAGTTTACGATGGTGCTTAGCAGCATTGGTACGATTTGATCGGTGATCCAGAGCTCGTTTCAGAATATTGCTGCTTCCTCCACCGGCACTAGGCCCCTCAGAACTGTTTTCGGTGACGTTTTCCACCAACTCAGATAAAGTCTGCCCCAGAAGAAGCGATACCATGGGGCCACTCCACAGCATATACAGCTGTGTCTTCACAAAAGGCATCGCCTCATGCAAACTATGGCCCATGCTCTGAGCAAACCATCCTAACACTGGATGCCAGTAGGTCAGGTTCGACTGCTTTGTCACGACGTAATGTTGGCAACTCTCCATCAGTCTTGTCACTACAAACTGTCGGGAGAAGCAGACACCATGCACACACGTTACTAATCCACATAATCATCAATATGGATGTCAATTAAATCATGGGAATGATATAATACAGGTGCTATCCAGCATTTGTCTAGATGACTGAGAAAAGCATTGAGAAACCTCCAATCACGATAGCAAGTGTCTCAACCATAGTCTGAACTGAGCACTTCCCAAACACAAGTCTACAGTGTTACTGCCACGCAGCTCAAACCAATTCCATTAATGAGTATGCCATAACCCAAACATTGCTTCCAGTGAGTGAGCCTGTGTCATACTGAGTGGGCGAGGACACAACTTCCCAGTAATAACTACATTTTTAATACTGATATACGTGTAACTTTCCTGTTTCCGACTGCAAACATATTAGAGACCACTCAAAGAGGCTATGAAATTCATTCTGTACTCTTGACAATATGTACAGCAGCCACAGCTGTTAAAGTGAGGTGCAAGTGTTATGGTAGAATTTTTGGGCGCAATTCTAATATCATTCCATATTTCTTAATTTGAGTGTTTTAAGGTTTTTTTTGAGTGTTTTTTAAGGTTTAAGCCACTATATATTGTGATACTGACAAGGAAAGCAACTATATCCCAGGCAAAGGGTGGTTACTTTCTCTGGTTACAAGAAAAATAAATCATTTTCATGTTTTAATTATTATGCATATTAACTCACACTGTATATTTAATTAAATACATGAATTCTTTTATGACCTTACATCACACGGCAGTATGGGACTAATGGAAACAAAAGTTGATTAATCCAATCTTCTTTCTTTCCACATTTATTCATCATATTTTTATAGGATTTAAACGATAAAACAGGTTCACAAACAGATGGACATAACCTCTCATCTCAACATAAGACACTCCCTTATATATACATGGACACAAATGCCTACATGTGGGAAGAAAGAGCAAAATTAAGCATGAAAATGCAGAAGTCTGGATTTATGAGGCTCTTTTATTTTCACGCTTCCTGTAACTTCAAATAGTGTAATTAAGAACATTCCAAATAACACTGTATAAAACTTCTTGAATATTCTGCACACTGTCCACAGTCAAATTTCTTAAACCACACTATTTAAAAAAAAATGTTCTGTTTGAAAAGAATACCATCTTGCAGTATATACACCCATGTTGTGTGACAATCTAAACATCTTCCGGAGAAAAGCGCTACCTCTGTATTCACAGTAGAGCAGCAAGCCAACTGTGGAGCAAGAGATACTGATATAATGGGAATGGGGCCCTAACCCCAGGTGTCAGAAAGACTGACATGGTGGACAACATCAGAAACATTGGTCACAGACTTTCTCAAATACTCTGTTTAAAAATGTGTAATGTCTTAAGCGCATCCACTACATGAAGCAGAGTACTTCACAACTTGTGTAGGTAACCTTACAGAATGAAAGTCTTGTGTAAGTATGTTTAAATTTCTCACTGGTGCACGAATACTGCAAATACATTAAATACATAATATAGTGACTTTCTAAAGATGACACATCCTTGTAAAAAAAAAGTAAAGCTATCCCTGTAACAGGCCGTGGTGGCCCATAGGGTTGTGAGACGTTGAGGCTCCCACATTTTCTAGACACTCAGCTCACAGATGGCGGTGAGGTTGTCAGCCTTACGCACCAACCACCCTTTAACCCCAGGAAGATTCCTTGCACTCATTTCTGTTAGGGGCTGAGTCGACCTCAGGGCCATAGTGCAGCTGGAAGGATTAGGTCAACTGAAAAAATCCAATGACCTCATTGGGACTTGAACCTGTGACCTTCTGTCTTGTAGCATAGTGCCTCAGCCAACTATGCTACCGTGTGCCCTGACACATCCTTGTTCCCATAGTAAATGGAGCATAATCAAAACATTATACAATACGACAAACTTGCTTTCATCAGGCAGTGACAATCATAATTTAATTGCATCACAGAGCACTATAACATTTGAGTGCAGGTTACTACTCACAGTAAAAGCTGGAAAAGCAACATCCTTAAGTGCATCTTCTCTCTGAATGTACGCAAGTTGGATGAGGTTTGCCAGCAGGCAGAGAGCATAATTTCCCTCCAAAGTATTGAACACAATCCTCATATTCTGCTCCGAACTCAGCAGCTCAAGACTCTTTGTGAACACATTGTGGCCAACCAGAACACTGCTGCACTGCAAGCAAAGGTCAGCGCACAGAGTCAGCATGTCACCAAGACTCACGTTACAAAATTCCACTCATAAGAACCTTCATAACAAAGAAAGGGTCTTGTGGATAGTAATACAGTGTGTTCAGTCAAGGAGGAAACTTCACAACACTGCTGACCGGGCCCAATATTCCTCACAGATTGCTGCTGTAACTGTAACGGCGCGCGTTTATCAGTGCTAATGATTCATTCTGCTATCAGCAGTTATAGTATCAATCTGTGAGGAATGTTGCGCCGGGTCAGCGGTGTTGCGAAGTTTCCTCCTTAACCGAACGCACTGTAGCAAGTACACTGGTCATCTGGAAAGTAAAGACCATCTGGTAATTAAAAGTAATAACATTAAAAAATCTTATTTTGTATCATTACTACAGGCATTAAATCATTTTTCTACATAATCCCCATGAAGATTCAGGCACTTGTATTATGTGATGAGTTTCTGTATCTGCTGCCAGTCCACTGAGCCAGTCTTTAACCGTCTTCATCTCTTCATCACTATACATGCACGTGTCATCCAAAAACTGCTTCAAGTGTGTGAACAAATGAAAATCACTTGGAGCCAGATTTGGACTGTTAGGAGAATGGATGAAAAGTCCCAGCCAATGTCAAACAAGTAGCAGATGTTTGCTAGGTATTTACTTTCTGAAAAACCATCATAGGTCTCAAAGACCCCAACATTTCAAAAGTTCAAAGAGTAAGGCAAGCAACAAACCACCTCACCTTGCCATCTGCTTCCTGCTGGTTTTCGGTGTGGCTTACATTCTGACCCTGAAGATTGAGGCTATATGTTCCTCTGAAACACGTGGTTCTCTCTACTCTACACAGCGCTACCACCCACAACACTGTACTCTACATAGTCACTACCACAGTAATCTTAAATGCAACTTTTATGATGAGGCACAATCCCTGATCTTGGCTTGTCATTGGAACACAAACTTGCTCATTCACAATCTGTTCTGAACAGAAATGGTAACGAAGAATTAAAACATTGTCCAGTCATCCTCCCTTATTCTCTGTTGTGGTATGCATCCTCTGTAAGCTGCTGCTAATTTTCAAAAACTTTAAGGGAATTCTCTTATAATATAACAGGGTCTTCAATGGTTACAGCATAATCTGGTGTTTCCAATTACTATAGCCATGTAATTTCAGACAATAACTTAGGTGACTTACATTATATTTGGTTATTCTATGGCCATTTGGGAGTGTAACCCTCAATTATCACAATGGGTCCATGGGAAACAGCGATGACACAATTTCAATGTATGAACCCTCTCCAGAAATGTTAACTATCTGCTTGTAACAAAAATTTTTAAATTTTCATGTAATTAATTCCAAGGAGGAAAGTCATCACTGAGATGAATGACAGCCACTCAACTAGTAAAGAAATCCTTCATTCTTCCATCATAAATCTTTGTACCAACTACGCTGTATTACATTTTGTTAATTTTTCTTCAATGGGGGAACTGCCTTCCCCAATACATCTATAGAACACACACAAGAGTCTTCTCACCTCATGAGCAAGGCCCTGAATATGCAGTATCAACGCAGGTACACTAAGTATGTGAATTAGGAACATTGTCATCAGTTTCTCTGTAAAACCAGCAGACACCAGAGGTCGGAGGGCCAGGGTCAATACTGCTGAGACTGAGACATGTTTTGATGGAATCTTTGCCTTTCCAAGTCCTCGAAGAAGTAGAGACTGCAATATACAAATAAAGTGAACTGTTCAAATCCCTTTATCACCAAATCATCGTGTTCCACTTTTTGACAATTTCAGTATTTCGTGCTCTAGCTCGCATCTTCTAAAGTGAAGATGGAAAATAGCGAAGTACAGGACACTGACAACAAGTTATACACTTTTAGAATTTTAACTAACTCAGTGGAGCGCGGTTCATCTTGACATGCAGTCTCTCAGCTGGTCAATAAATTGCTGGAACCCAAAGGTTTCTTACCATGTTCAGAAAAGGCCAAAAATCGACCCTATCCTGGGCCAGCTGAATCCAGTCCACAGGCTCGAATCATACTTCTACAGCATCCACTTTAATATTATCCTTCCACCAGAGTATAGGACTCCAAAACTTTCTTTTCTCTTCAAGTTTTCTGCCTGAAGGTTTGTATGCATTTCTCATTCCTCCCATGCAAGCTATATGTCTATCAGTTCTCAATGTCTATGGACTGGATTAAGCTGGCTCTGAATAGGGTCCTATGGCATACTATTCTGAACATTCAAATTCCAGAAAACCCTAGGGATTTCTTGACCAACTGAGTGACTATCAGACTAATGTCTAGGTACCTTTAATGTAAGATAGAATCCCTTTGTGAAGAGATGTCCCAGGACATTGGCACAAAGTTGATTGAGTCCTGGCTTCAGTACTTCCATGTGCTTTGCACGCAAGAGATTCCAAGTGTTGGTCGAGGTGAACGTGACTAAAGTGCGCAAGTACAGAAGTATAACACGCATATCCGTCAGAAATTCTGGCCGAAGTTCGTCCAAGTAACAACAGCATTTCCACAGGACGTCCTTCACATGTGCAATCCACGCTATGGCATATTCTTTGTTCAACGCAACTCCAACGTAGCTTAGTTTTATGGAACTGGATTCCAGGCTTGACACAAGGTACCTGATAACAGTGCAACATATTGCCTTTGTGCAGCACATCAGACATTACAAGAACAAGCAACAAGTCCTGCTTGTTGCAAACACTGTGAAGCTTCCTCTGTAAATGTTGGTATCTACCTCCCAGGCTACATGGTCTCATAATCCAGAACATTAGAAACTTGCATAATTTTACTATCTATTTCTTTGAAAATCATGCTTGACCCTCGGTAACTGTGAAACTCAAATGATATGAATATCTGGCTGATGTCACTTATGTTACTGTACTGCAGCAAATATTCCAATAATCATGTTAATTTTCATGGTACATAAGAGCCAGAATGATGAAGAAATTTTGTGTGCAGTATAAAAGTGATGGAAGAAGACCATTGGGAAGACCAAGGTGTAGGTGGGTGGACAATATTAAAACAGATCTTAGAGAGATACGATGGAGTGGTATGGACTGGATTGATCTGGCTCAGAACAGAGACCGGTGGAGGGCTCTTGTGAACATGGTAATGAACCTTCGGGTTCCATAAAATGCTGGGAAGTTCTTGGGTAGCTGCAGAATTGGTGGCTTCTCAAGAAGGGCTCAGCTCCATGAAGTTAGTTAGTTACTATAAATACTGTTCATTTTCTTTTATGTTATTTTTGTTCCTTTCTTACATGCAGTGAAACATCAATATTTTCAATACCAAAAAGTATTAAACCCCAGACTAGATGTTTATATTCCTTGAGGTTTACCTGCAAAGCTTTTCGAAGCGTTCCTTGTCTCGATCCTTTTTCCAGACAAGCATAAAACGGCAAGCAACTTGGTAAACTTGCAGACATGGCTGAAGCTCTGAATTTTCACTTGAAAACAGCATGTCAAAATCTTGCCTGCAGAATGCAATACATCATAAGGACAAACAGAGACAGGGTCAAACTGAATAATTCTAAGTAGTTACTATAGGATTCTGATGATGGTGTATAACACACAGCGATATTGGGTTTTCGGACTTTATCTATCGTCCTGGTTTTTAAGATAACTAAGAAAAACACGACGTTTCAGAAGCTGGATCTGTTTCTGCCCTCAGGTGAGGGAAAACACCTATTCTGTTAATTAATTAAGCATCACGCCATGAAAATGTATGAGGAATTAGACATGTAATTCCATGTGTTCTTAACCTCAGCATTACATGGAGGTGAGCAGTTTGCTTCATATCATGACTGCTTTACACCTGAAGAGTCCTTGATACCCACTGGACATGTTAGGTGGTCCCCAGTGCTGGTCTGGATGCAGTGGAGAACAGAATAATCTCGTGCCCCAACCAGGAATTTAATATGTAAATATTAAAATGAACTGCACAATTAGAAGCTTAATATTCATCAGAAGATCTGAAAGTAAGACATCACTTGCGAAGAAGTGGTAGTATGGAAGGATAATATTAAATTGCATCTTAAAGAAACTTGGTGTAAGAGTGTAGACTGGACTCACCTGGCTCAGAACAGGTCTTGTGATGGGCTGTTACAAACACAATAATGAACCTTTGGGTTTCATAAAACGAAGGGATTTTCTTGGCCAGCTGAGTAACTGTCAGTCTTTCATGAATAACTCTACTTGATGGAGTTAGCAATGTTCATTAAATATAATTTCAAATATCAAGCAGAAATGAATATGCCATCTGTTCACTACAAAAAACAGACTATATTCTTGGCAAGAGAAAACTGTTCATGCACTGAGAATGGCTGAAAGAATTCTTGAATACTTGTAACAAAAGGGAGAATATGCCCATGTGGTCCAGTCACTTGCTTAATGGATTGAGATGCTTAGTTTGTATTCACAACACAAGACTTAATCTGTCATTCTTAACCTAATCAAGTACATCAGTTATACCTGTCTCCTATATATATAAACACTTACAGAATACATCCAGAAAACTTCCTTCTCGCAAGCCATCCCCGAACGTGGGCCTGAATAATTGTAGCGGCCCATTCCCTTTTCTTCTCATGTGCTCTTTCTTCTCGAGCTGCCTTTGTCTGCTTCAGGAAGCTCCCTTTTGTTGACTCAGTCTTATTGAACATTTTTAAATTTGTAGCCAAAACTAATTTCCTTTTGTGGGTATACCACTCGAAGGAACCTTATTCTGTACATGGATAGAAAATGTCACGATACGATCTAGTTCCGCAGTAGATTTCAACATTCTAAGAGTTCTGCATATTACAAAATCAACACCTGACAAAACTTACTGCTCCGCTCAAACTTACAATTTGTTAAACGTTCTCGACGCTCTGGACCGCTCACCATTTCGTTCCCGAAATTAATTATTTTGATTACCAATTTCTTCCCTTAACAGCAGCAACATAAAACTCCATCTGCCATTTCTGTCAGTCTAAATTTAATGTGCCATCTCTGAAATATTGGGGAACTATTTACTATCGGCTGCAAGCGTTACGGTCGGCATTACAGCACTACGCTGCTAACTATAGGCTAACTTCCTTTTCTAAGTTAATCGAAAAACTTATGTATGTAAGACTTATTAAGCAAATCGAGACAAATAATATGTTGGCCCAAGAACAATATGGTTTCAGGTCTCATTCTTCGACTGAGCAGGCGGCCTTTTCATTGATAGATAGCATCCTGCATGCTATGAATAATAAGTTAATGGTAGGAGGTATATTTTGTGATCTTCAGAAAGCGTTTGACAGCGTTTGACTCTGTCAATCACAAAATATTATTGGACAAGTTAATATTTTATGGAATAGAAGGAAAATTTAAAACACTCATAGAATCTTAACTAACGGATAGATATAAAAAATTTGTAATAGGTAACAGATTTGACTGAAGAAGCTCTTCTGATGGGAAGTACTTAAGTTCGGTGTTCCTCAAGGATCAATCCTTGGTCCGCTTTTTTTCCTACTTTATATTAATGACTTGCCTTCAATAATCAACAAAAACAATAATATAGTACTTTTTGCAGATGACACAAGTATTATAGTAACTGACACAAACAAGCTAGATTTTGAAACTAATCTTAATCAAACTCTTAAAGATATTGATGCATGGTTTAATGCTAATTTGCTCACTTTGAATTTTAAGAAACCTCAATATGTTGAATTTCGGTCCATGAATTATTATAACATTACTTCCAAAATTATAGATGATCATATTCAATTAATCAAGGCATCAGAAACAACATTTTTAGGTTTAATCACTGATGATACCCTCACATGGAAACAACATACTCGTATTGACTATGTTATCAATACAATTTAAAAGTCATTTTACGCATTGAGAAATATAAAGCATTTTATTCCATTAGATTCATTAAAGTCAATTTATTTTGCCCATATACATTCGATCTTAAGCTATGATATAATTTTCTGGGGTGGCGTTTCCTGTGCTGGCAATGTTTTTATACTACAAAAGAAGGCTATTAGAATTATCACGAATTCTGGTTCAAGAGTGTCTTGTAGACATTTATTTGAGAAGCTTGAAATAATGACATTCTATTCTCAATTCATATACTCATTAATTTTATTTACGATTAATAATATCCATCTTTTCAATTCTATTAATGAGATTCACAAGTATAAAACCAGATCTCTTAATAATCTCTATTTACCTTCTGTAAACTTGACAAAATACAGTAAGGGTGCATATATAGCAGGTATTAAAGCCTTTAATCATTTACCTCAAGCTTTAAAAGGGTTGATTTCCGACGTGCTAAATTTTAAGAGAGCACTGAAGAGATTTTTACTTCATCATTCTTTTTATTCTACGAAAGAATACTATCAATTGGTTAAACGTATTATAGCTTAACAATTGTAATATTTCCGTATTCCGTATTGAGGGGGTGGGTTTCCCCATGCACTTAGACCGGTTAGTGGTCCATTATGCGTCCCCCTTTTAATTTCTACTGTCTCCATACCCTACTAGTACTGGTGCTTACTATCAGCCCCTTTCTGCCAGCAAGGTTCCAACCTCCTCTGGTAGTGGTATCTAATAGTTAGTCCCTTCCTGTCAGAGAGGTCCCCCTCCTCTGGCAGCGGTACCTAATACTTTCCCCATCTACCAGAGGAATTGGAAACTACTTGGGCGGGAAATGTTGCCTAATTTTGCTCAGAGGTCTCCTAGAGACATGAGGTTCTTTTACGTGCCGTAAATCTACGACACAGGACCCACGGCTTAAAGTTCCTCCTGGAGGACTTGTTCCCTGAATTTTTCCACCCTTAAAAATTCCACGACCTCCACCGGGTTTTTGAACCCGCGTACTACGAGTCATGAGGTGGGAACGTTACCTCTAGACTACAGAGGCCGCTAACAATTGTAATATACTTTTAGTCTAGAAATCTGCAGCAGTCCTATTAAAGACATTAGGAGCAACTATTGGATTGAATTAATGAATCTGAATATAGAAATTAGAATTTTAATAGTTCTAATGTGTTTTGAAGTATATATTATATGGAGATATGGGAGTTAAATATGATGATATTATTATAAACATAATGGGTCGGTCATACGTGTGTAATTTTGTGACTGTATTTGATTTAGTTAATACAGGTATATATATGAAATGGTGTAAATACAAGTTTTATAATAAGTTATTTTTTAAGTATGTCTATTAACTGAAATCTTATTAAATTATCTTTTTTTTCCTTGACACTACAGCCCCAGTGGGCCTAGGCCTACCTCCATGAAGTTTCCGTTCACTTCGGTTTTTCTAGATCTTACACAATCGGTAGGAATCCTTGGACGGGTGATCAGCTTGTCGCTAGGCCTCTACCTGTACACAAACACAGAAAAACGCACAAAAGCATCCATGCCCTGAGTGGGATTTGAACCCACGATCCTGTTTTCCAAGCGAGCGAAGATAGTACATGCCTTAGACCGCTTGGCTGCCGTGACCGGCATTAAATTGTTTTATCTTATAATATTATTTATGTTTATAGATTGATGTAAGTGACTCTGTTCGATTGACTTGTGCAATTTTGTATATGCATGTTGATGTATCTGTATTCAAAAGGACCATTTCCACATCCTGGTTTGATAACCTGTATGGATATATATGGAAAATAAAATGAAATTAAGTTAAACTACCAGTTTTTCACTTCTGGTTTGTCCATCATGTGCTGAAATTTTCGGATAAGAATGAGACCTTTGCATAAAGGAGTCGTTGCTTATTTTAGAGTATCATCACGGCATCGGAATGGACAGTCAAGTAAGCCAGTTACTGACAAATAAAAGTTTCAATTTTATTGCATAACTAGACATCTGGCCTGGTCTGACAGAATATGGAGAGAGAGACTCAGCTCTTCTGCCTCTCTTCTAATGAAGAGTTTGAAGTTCTTACAGTGGTGATTAGAAATAAGTCTATCTTCTTAGGTATAATGCTAGAAAAGTTAGAATAAGTCTTTTAAAGCAGAATGTTGAATTCATTATTGAGTAAATGGTATCTTTGTCATTGTGCTTTATTAATTAAATACGACACCATGAAGTCATATGGACCAGTGGAGGGGATGGCAATTAAGGTGAATGCATTCTTAGTACTTTATCTGGGGGGACAGAGCCCCCAGTGCCAATTGGATAGGAGGCCAAGTGGGCCCCATAGCCATTCTAGACACTGTGGAGCAGAGAAAAATTCCTATCCTTTACCATGAAAAGAAAACCAGCCATCCAGACTGCAACCTGTCACTGTGCTGACTGAACTATCCCAGTTCCTACGTAGTTAGGTTGTAAAAGCATTACGTAAGGAAAATGAAGGCAAAAACAAGGGGAAAGGTTAATTATAATGAAGATTGGAGTGGGAATGAAAACGTAAGCAGTTGCACTTTGATTGCATTTCAATGTTTAATTTTCTAAACAATAGAAAACAGAACTTTAAAAGAGATAGTTCTAAATAAAAAACTTGCATGTTTGAAATACATTTATGATTCACAAAATTAAACCATTAAATGCTGGTGGAACTCCAACTTATTTATCCCTGATTTAATGTTTTCCCACATGCAAGGTTCAATTTCAATGGTCTCAAATGCTAATTTTCCCCACTGAAGATTTTCCTCAGCTTAGTTTTATAAATCCACTAGATTGTCATAGAAAACTTAAATGTGTGTCTGTGTGTATATATGCATGTGTGTGTCCACCAATTGCTCAGTTATGGTTTCGTGAGTTTATCTCTCACTGCTTCAATGAACTCACCTTGCTTAAACAAAAAAAATTGTCATTGCTGGCTTCAAACAATTACCTGATTTAGCGATCAGAACATTACATGTCTCTGGTTATTACTTTCATATAATTTTATGCTTTAAAATAAAGAACACTACAGAAACATGGTCTCTGTCTTGGCTTGACCTGAAATAAAATGTTTCCACCCTATCTCTTTCTGTCAGTTAATTTGTTAAAGAAAGGAAAGCATGACTTCATATTAGCTAACTTCTAGCTTGAGAAACTAAAATTTCTATTCATATTTGATAACATATACATTTAATGACATTTCCTTCAAATAATGTTTAACTGCAGATCTACAATTTTAAACTTACAGCTTCAATTTCAATTGCTCTTTGCAAATATTTTGGAATACAGAAACTCCTTTAAATAATAGTAAATGCCTTAAGAAGTTCAGGAGTTTTCTACATCCTTTTGCGCTCTCATGTCAGACAAGCAATGAGATGAAAACAAAATGAGGGAGTGCCTTCCAACTTCTGGATTAGCCAAAACAATTTTAACAGACATAATTTGTTCACTTTTGTATCAGTAAGACTGGACATACTTGTAAGACACACAATAAAATATCGTGTATGATTTACATATGAATGTAACAGTATGACAAAATAAACATACATTTTCTGATTAAATTTACTGATTGATATTAATTAACTACTACTCTTAGCAGTAATATGAGATCAAAAGTACCCCACTTTTTTGTTGCATTTGTACCAGCTAATTCTCCTGCTGCATCTCCATCAGCTGACGGCAGATATAACTTGTACCATCTAAATAACAGAATCATGTCTCCTTTAACAATGATGTTTCCTCATCATAAAACAAGGTTGAAAATGGATCACAAAACTTAAATTAAACACTAACTTTCTTACATTTACTATATACCAGTATGAATCACTTCACATAGTATGTACACTACTTTATAAATCCATAATGGCCTTACAGGAATATTTTGCTTGACACTGACCATTGCTCAGGATATGCGTAACATGTTGTGGAAACAGGATCCGTTTCTGTTACCAGGCATAACGCTCTTACACAAAATGTCATTATATTCAATATTTCCTAAACAAAGGATGATGTGCAGCACAACATTCAACCATTATTACAAACCTCCAGAAAAGCATCCACTATTGCAATCTACCAGATGCATTGTTTAGCTAGATTTTTCTCGGACTGAGTAGTCATATGGCTGAGAATTCAAATGTGAGAGGTAGGACTGAGCTGGGTATTCCATATAATGCTGAATGTATGGAAGTATGTAGCATGGACAGGGTAGGAGAAAAGGAGGAAATAATGAGGGTTGTGGTGGTAGTGGGGTTTGTGGAGGCAGGTAAGGGCACTTCCATACTGGCTGATTGTGCTGCTGGTAGTATGGTTGGTATAACCCTTGGCATGGGTAATTCAAACTATTGGAATTTAAATTTATGTTGGTAACAGCTGTTGAAATTTCTTCATTGAGACAATTAATAGAAAGTACAGAGTTGCTTTCATTCTGATCTTGTATAACCGGAAGAACATGTTCTGTGCTGTGACCATTGTTGTTCCAGTCCTCTGCAGCTGGTAGGGAAGCTGTCTGGACACAGTCCACGGAGGGTGAGGCACTGCGCTCAGGGCAGGGTCGCTTTCTGTGTGAAGCTGAAACTTCATTCATTACATTTGTTAATTCACTTCTGCACTGCAATTATACTGGACATGGTCTTGAGGTATGTTTAGTATGCATTCAACCTCATTAGAATCTGAGTAAGGGGAAGAACAGACACACAGCATCACTAGTGTGTCTGAAATGGAAACTTACAAAAGTGAACCAATTTCTGTCTGTCTGTCTGTCTGTCTGTCTATCAGCTGTTATGTGACAATTTGAAAAATTCTTAACAGATTTCACAAAATTTGGTTCTGACTGTTTTTATTAAAATTTGTCAAGGAATTTAAATTTTGCTTCTGGGTGTATGACTCAGGAAATTTAAATTAATCACCTAGAAGCATAATATCAGGGAACGCCTATAACAAATCAAAACCTGATTCGGGAGGAAATTAAGCGGAGACTGAACTCAGATCATTCAATCCAGAGCCTTTTGTCTTCTCGTCTGCTGTCTAAAAATATAAAAATTAGAATATACAAAATAATAATTTTGCCTGTGGTTTTATATGGGTGTGAAACTTGGTCTCTGACATTAATGGAGGAACATAGGCAGAGGGTGTTTGAGAACAGGGTGTGGAGGAGAATATTAGGACCGAAGAGAGATGGAGTGACAGGAGGTTGGAGAAAACTTAATAATGAGGAGTTTCATAACTTGTACTCTACTTCAAGTATAATTAGAAGAACTTTGTCAAGAAGGATGACATGGGCACGGCATGTAGCACGAATGGGGGAGAGGGGAAGTGCATATATGATACTGGTGGGAAATCTGGAAGGAAGGAGACCACTGGGAAGACCAGGGCATTGGTGAGTGAACAATATTAAAATGGATCTCAGAGAGATAGGATGGCGTGGTATGGATTGGATTGATCTGGCTCAGGATAGGACCGCTGGAGGGCTCTTGTGAACATGGTAAGGAACCTTTGGGTTCCACAAAATGCTGGAAAGTTTTTGAGCAGCTGCACAATTGGCAGCTTCACAAGAAGGGCTGGACAGTAACAACAAATGCTTTATGAGAAGACCTATATACATTTCTGTATGTATCTTGAGGGTAAGTAAAAGTAAAGCTAGCCCAGTAACAGGCCATGCAAGCCCATAGGGTTGTGAGACGTTGAGGGTCCCACATTATCTAGACAATCGGCTCAAAAATGGTGGCAAGGTTGTCAGCCTTACACGCCGGCTGTGCTTTACTCCCCAGGAAAATTATTTATTTAATTTCTGGTACTCATTTCTGTTAGAGGCTGAGTGAACCCCAGGGCCATAGTGCAGCTGGAAGGATTAGGTCAACTGAAAAAATTCAATGACCTCATCAGTATTTGAACCCGTGACCTTCCAACTTGTAGCATAAATCGCTAACTATTTATGAAAGCAAAACTTGTTTTGAACGGAGTTAGCAGAAATGAGCAAAGCACACTTTTTGTGCCCAATGCAAATCTTCCTTGAGTTTGAAATTTTTGAGCTAATTAAACAAAGGAACTGGAAGCATTACGCTGTGGGTATATTTCCAAAACTGTTCAAATCCTCTTATGACCGATGTCTCCATGGTTGTCAGTGAAAATGTGTTTAAAACCAAAAACCAACCACTTATGTCTAAACACAGCCTTTTACATAGGCATTGGCGACCAGGAAAAAGTAAATGTGATGGTGCAGCATGGCTTGAAGATGAAGCGGGAAGTGGAGGAAAAGCTGCATGCATTCTTAACTCTGGAACTAGATGGAAGTAAAGGTATCCATTTTGTTTTAAGTTCAGAAAGCGAACTGAAGATCTGAGTGCTGCTTCATGCAATGATAGGCAAGTCTGATGGTTCAGTGAACTGACCCAGCTCAGATAAACTCACCTGTTTCATTCTGTTTCCGCTTGACAAAGGAAAGGCCATTTTCTCTGAATCCCTTTGCAAATGGGTTGTTGTCAATCTTCAATGCAGTAACTTGTTCATTCTAAAATTAGAGAACAGGTCAACCTGTCTGGTAATTNTGTAACTAGTAATGAGATGAAAGATATTATTAAATCTCTTAAAAATAATAATTCCTATGGTTATGATGAAATACCTATGAAAATATAAAGTATGCCTTTTATAATGTCGCCTCTTATTTATATATGTAATAGGTCCCTCTCTACAGGCATATTTCCATCACAGTTGAAATACTCACAAGTGCATCCGATATACAAAAAGGCGAAAGGTCTGAAATATCAAATTATAGGCCAATTTCTGTACTTACATCATTTTCCAAAATTTTTGAAAAAGTAATTTTTAATAGACTTCACACACACACACATATCCAATAATAACATCTTGACTGTTGAGCAGTATGGATTCAGGAAAAATAGCTCTATGGAAATTTAATTTAATTTAATTTAATTAATAATATGTTGCAGGCACTTTATGATAAAAAATTGGTTGGTGGAATCTCTTGTGACCTGACCAAGGCATTTGATAGCATAAATCATGAATTATTACTGAAGAAGCTGGATTTTTATGGTGTACAAGGAACATTTTTTAAATTGACTGCCTCTTATTTAAATAATAGATACCAAAGAGTAGTAATAAGAGATAAATCATCTATTAAATGCTTCTTAGTCTGAAAACAATTTAGATTGGGAGTTCCTCAAGGATCGATTCTGGGACCACTGTTTTTTTGTTGTTGTTGTATATTAATGACTTACCAGCTGTAATAAGTGATATATCAAAACCTACTCTATTTGCGGATGATATTAACTTAATTCACTTCAGATTTTATGCAGCTTAAAAAATCTCAATACTGTTCTTGGTAAGATAATAGGCTGGTTTCAAGCTAATTCATTGACTTTGAACTTATTATATGTATTTTAAAATGAAAATGAGTCTAATCGATAATTCTCCAATAAAGTATGAGTATATGAACAAAAATAAATAGCACTCACTACACAGATCTTTTATGTGTGACTCTTGACTCGACATTATCTTGGCAAGAGCATATAAATAAAGTGATTTCTAAATTAAATTCTGCTTGTTTTGTTATTAGATCTCGTAAATTGTTTTTAACTATAGAAGACTCACAAACTGTATATTTTGCTTATGTTCATTCTATTACCATGTATGGTGTTGCCTTTTGGGGAAATGCGACTAATAGTAAAATGTTTTTATAGTACAAAAAAGAATTATGAGAAGCATTATGAATGTGAAACCTAAAATATCTTGTCAGGGACTTTTCAGACACCTAAATATACTGCTCTTTTATTCACAATATATGTTTTCTTTATTGTTATTGGTAGTAAAGATTGTACACCAATTTGTAATTAATAATGAAATACATACTATAAATACACAACAAAGTACTAATTTACACATACCATCAGTAAATTTGACCAAATGCAAAAATGGTGCCTATTCTGTGGGTATAGAAATTTTCAATCATTTACCGCATGACATAAGGGAACTGTTATATGATGTTAAAAATTTCAAATTAGTTACTAAAAACTCTTTCTTAAAGGAATCCTTTTATTCAGTAAAAAATACCTTGAATGGTCAGAATAATGATGGATCATATATAGTGTAATTGTTCCTTATATTATCTATTTACAGCTGTGTTATTCTTTTGTATATTATTTTTGTGTTATTATGTTTTAGTGTATTATATGAAATATTGTTGTGACTGACACAAATAGTGTCCTTGATTACACAGTGTTATTTATTGACAAGGTTGTGTGTTATAACTGTTATTATTGTACTCAATTTTAATAATGGACTACTTCTATATTTGTGGTGACTTCTTATCACCTGTATGGAATACCTGAAGTATCGATCAAATAAATAAATCATTACATTTCCTCACAGAATAAACTGCTTATATCATAATTTCTACTATCTCAGTATTGCATACAAATTTTATTTCATTAATATTCATTAAAAAGGTTGTCAAATAGGTATAGCAGGTTGTTATATTATTGCAGCCTCTAAAACTGTTCACATAGCAGCAAGACTATGAGAGTAGTAATCCTTAAATTTACTCCAGTTCCCTCAATTGGATAATATGTAATTACTGATTCATACAGTCACACATAAATGTTGCTAGTCACTCTCTAAGTCTTAGTGAATAAATTTGATTTGATTCATTCTGGTCCATCACACTAGTAATATTATGAAAGAGTTAAATAGTTCCGCCCAGTGTGACTGGTTAAGATTTTTTTTTTTTAATTATTTATGCCCTTACGTGTTTCGGTCTTCAGAGACCATCTTCAGAGGGACACCTTTGCATCAATACAGTTAGAAGCCACTATTACAGTGCATGTTCTAAAGAACCCTCTTCTCGAGAACAACAAGGTGGCACACATTTGGCCCCCATGAAAAAGAAATCATAAGATGGACGACACGAACCAGCTTGATTTACGAATTCCAATAGAATCTTAACAAACTAACTATAAATATTTTAATGTATTGGAACAGCCGCTGTATTTGTAAAGACTTTAGATTTTACACCCAATTGTATAATATTTATATTGTATGTATATGTTTTAACTTTTAGAACATGTACTGTAATAGTGGCTTCTAACTGTATTGATGTAAAGGTGTCCTTCTGAAGATGGTCTCTGAAGATCGAAACATGTAAGGGCATGAATAACTGAAATAGGAGAAAAAAATCTTAACCAGTTACACTGGATGGAGCTATTTAACTTTTTCATAAACTAAGCAAATAGTCACTCTTTGTGTCTTCCATCATAGAATCCTCAAATGAAAAAGGAGTAACATACTGTATGTGAAGCATAACAAGTACACTGGACATGAATTCCCAAAATGTACATAAAATTCAGAACAAATTGTTGCTTGGTCCATAATTTGAAGTTCTTCAATTCAAGAGATTTCATAAGCACAGCAAAATGTTACCTGATATGCTGTAACCGCAATAAACTCAGTCTCTGGAAACGTGAATGTGGCTGTAGGACTCCATGACAGGGCCATAATATCCGATGTCTTGATCACATGGATACGGGGCACATATTTGTGCATTGATGTCAGAACCACCTGCAGAAGCAAACAACACCACTATATACAATTTAAACTGTTGCTGGCATTTAGTGTTACATCAGGCTAATTTAGTAGCTCATGCACCTGGAATGTGGAAAATGTTACAAGGATCTGACAAATGTGCTACAGCCACAGTTCTTTATAACAGGTACAGTGTAAGGTAAATAAGATCTAAAAGTTTGTGACGATGGTACGAGTACATTGGTACAAATATTATGTCTCTGGATATTATCCATTCTGCCTCCATTTTCAGGTAAAACCTACTCAGTTGGGCCCAATCAATAGACACTATAGGGACTAGCTCTATCGATTGGGCCCAACTGAGTAGGTTTTACCTGAAGATGGAGAGAGAATCTAGTCTCCAAAACACTGTGTTTTGAAAAATAAACACGACTGTTTTTAGATAGAGACAAAACGATGGATAATGTCCAAAGATATGAATGAATGAATGAATGAATGAATGTATAAGGGGTGGGCCTTCTTGGTCCTTGCACCGCGACCACAGTGATCTATTGTGCCTCCCCTTCTGATTATGCCATCAGCAATCCTGCGCTTCGAATGAAGTGCAGGATTTTGTACGTGGTGTGTCGAAATAGTCACTTGGTTCCATAAAATATTGACCCAACTGACATAATCTTAAATAAGCTAAGGCCTCACATTCACACAGGATATGTGTGGCTGTTTCATTTTCTTCTTGACACTTGTCACAAGTTGGACTATCACTTAGTCCCAGTTTGAAGAGGTGTCCTTTAAGGTGACAGTGTCCTGTAAATAGTCCTACTACCCATTGTAGCTGGTTCCTGTTTAACTTCAACAGTTCCTTCGCTTTTTTAGTAGAGGGTCCTCATATGAGTTCCTTTGCTTGCCTGAGTCCAGTCAAGGATCCCCAGTATTTCTTGTGATTCATATTTGTCCGGTCCCTGAATGCCTTTCTGGTAACTCCTGTAGAGATGCCACAGACTGGTTCAGGTCCTATGAATGGATGTTCAGCTCCAATCTTGGCCAATTGGTCTGCTATTTCATTACCAGCAATATCCTCATGCCCCGGTACCCATATCAGTTGTATGTACCCTGTTATGTTTGGCCAGTTCCATGAGAGTTTGGTGGCAATCCCAGACCAATTTTGAGTTGATCTGGTGTTTGTCAAGTGCTTTAAGTGCAGCTTGGCTGTCAGATAGAATGTAGCTGTTCCTATTTCTGTAGTACCTATCTAGATTCTCCATAATACATGCCTTAATGGCATGTATTTCTGCCTGGAATACTGTCGTGTACTGCCCAGGGCAGAAACTAAGTTTCCGCCTCGTGCCATGGCAGTACACACCAGCTCCAGTGCCCTTATTTATCTTGGAACCATCTGTATACCAGATCAGTCCCCCTTTTCTATCGGGCTGAAACCCATCTTCCCATTCACTCCTGTCAGGAAATCTGACTGTGAAGTGTTTTCATATACATGTCTCAGTATCATTTTGTCAGACCCCATGTGTAATATGGGTTCTTTTTTCATGTTCTTAGTTATGTTTGCATGTCCGAAACCATCAGATCTAGGTTTCCATTGATCACTGCACTGGAGATGGTAGATTTCTGCCCTGGCCTCTGCCTCCAACTGTAGATGCAGTGAGGGGAGTCCAAGGAGTGTCTCCAGTGCAGCTGTTGGAAGTGTTCGAATTGTTCCTGTGATACCCAAGCAAGCTAACCTTTGCAATTCGCTAAGTTCTGCCTTGCTTGTCTTGAGCTTAACTCTGGGTCACCATACTGTGGCGCCGTATGTAATTCTGGGTCTTAGAACCGCAGCATATATCCAATGCACAACGTGCGGCTGCAGTCCTCAAGTTTTACCAAACATGCTTCTGCATGTCCAAAAAGCTTTATAGGCTTTATTGATGACCTTGTCCAGTTGATTTTTCCATGTCAGTCCCTTGTCTAATACTAGACCAAGGCACTTGACACTGCTGGAGAGCCAGACCGTCTTATTGAAGAGGGTCAGTTTCTTAAGGTCTTCCTGCTAAACGGTATAATTACCATCTTATTAGGATTGATGGAAAGGCTTGTTCTTTCACACCATTATTGGACCATGTACACAGCTGTTTGAAGACGCTCTGATACAGTCGAAAGAAATTTTCCGTTTATGAGGATTGCTATGTCATCAGCATAACCTACTGTATAATACCCATCATCATTAAGTCCTCACAGGAGATCATCAACGACCAGGCTCCACAGCAGAGGTGAGAGCACACCCCCCTGCAGACACCCCATAGACGTGGATGCCCCCAGGGTCTCTCCTGATAGTGTGGCAGCTATGGTTCTGCTTTCCAGCATAGCATTAATCCGCCTGCATATTGCAGGGTCTATGCCATGCTTTCCAGCAGCCTGTCTGATTATATCAAATGAGGTTCTATCAAAAGCTCCCTCTATGTCAAGGAATGCTCCTAAGGCAATATCCTTGTGTTCAATTGCACTTTCTATGCGTGTTACCACATTGTGTAGTGCACTTTCAGTAGATTTATGTTTGGTAGGCATGTTGGTTACGGTGTAGAGGATATGTCCTCAATGCCCCATCCCTGCTATGCCTATCCCCTATTTTCTCCATTGTTTTCAACAGGAAATATGACAGGCTGATAGGACGATAAGCCTTAGCCTCGGTGTAATTTAGTTTCCCGGGTTTTGGGATAAATGTCACCTTAACTTGCCTCCATGCCATGGGGATAAAACCATATGCAATGCAGGCTCTATATATGCGACATAGGTGTGGAACTAAGAGTTCTGCCCCTTGCTGCAAAAGTGCTGGTACAATTCCATCTGTTCCCCTGACTTAAATGGTCTAAAGGCATTCAGTGCCCACTTGATTTTTGATTGGTTAATTTTGACTCTGGCCAGGTTCCGGTCTACCCTGTTCGTTTTGCTTTGGCAAGTGCCCAGGTTTTTCTGACCCTATCCATCGTATAGTTTATCAATCAATTTTGAATCATAAAAGTGAACCCTGAATAATTCATTCAGTGTCTCCCTTCCTGTTTGAGTATACTGCCCATGTCTAAAGATATAGTTGTACACTGTAAGGTGAACTGACACAATTTTGGACATCTTCCATTGTCTCAGTTGGATTCTAGAAACCCATCATTTCTGAAGCTGGCTGTACTCCTTACATCAGACAAAAGCATGAAATCTGTTCTTCTAGTATTAGAGAGTTTCTGAACAAAATCAAAATTTTGCAAAAACTGGATCTGCCTCTGTTCTCAGGTGAAAGGGTGCACAGACACCTAATTATCTGGGTCCATCAGAAAGAGTTAATCACCTATCACTAGCCTAGTCTTGTGCCCTTAACAGAGTATGCGCCCCTCCCCACCATTTATCCTGATGACAGAAACAGATGCAATTTGTGAAATGTTGTGTTCTTTTTTAATAGTAGATTGTGGGGTTTTGTTGTTACTCCAATGACAACCCATGTCTTCGGAAAGTTTTTAGTTCCTGAAAAGGACCATTGGCTGCTGGGATGTTCAGCCAGTGAAGTAGTGCTACATATGTCGGTAGAAAGAGATGTTGGTTGCGGCGGCTGAGGCAGTGGCCTGGTCGCAGTGCAGCCGTTGCCGGGAGTTGCCTGGTTGCTGGAAGACGTCTGCTTGCGGAGCGCGGTCGCAGGAGTGGAGAGGCGGTAGCTATGCCAGTTTCCAGTGAGTCGGGCATGACTGCCGGCGAGTCCAGGCAGCGGAGTTGCCCAGTGAGTCGGGTGTGACCGCCTGACAGCCGAGGCAGTCGTGCCTGGCGCAGCAAAGTGACGATGCCTCCGAAGACCGAGGGCTGGCGACGAAGTGTGCTGTTTGTAGACTGCTTGAAGACTGCAGACTGAAGCTGCTCCTTTTTATATAAAGCGTGATGGAGGAGCGAAAATTTGCTGAGCGCTGATTGGCTAGTGCATGTAATGACTAGACAGTGAGTGCAGTATAAATGTGAGCGTTGGAAGCAATTTGATTGGTTAGCGCGCGTGATTGTGAAAAGTGAGCGCTGTAGAAATAGCATGATAGTATGTGGGATGTTCCCAGGATGTGTGAGCGCTGGAATATAGACAGGAGGAGGTGAGATATCGAGACACGATTGGATAGAGGATTCGGACAGGTTGAGTGAGTGGAGTTGAGGAGTTAGATTCGGAGTTAGTGTGCTGTTGTATACGTCAGAGCGGATTGGATTCGATGCGGAATCGGGATCGAGTGGTGGATTTGAGATTGTCTGTTTGACAGGACAGGACTGATTCACGCTCAAGGAGAGTATAATGGAGTTCTATTGCTGGTAGCTCTGAAATTTTCAGTCTTGTTGTTAAAATTATCAGATTTTGCTTGAGGCCTGTGTCGTGTCGTGTCGTGCCGTGCCAGACATGGCGGGCGCCTCGGTGCCTGGCTANAACCCAGACGAAGCCCTCCCAAGAGGAAGACTTCAAAGAGGTCCGAAGGCGGAAACGGCAGAGCACAACCGAGTCTGCCCCCACTTCAAAGAAGGCAGCGGCTGCCACAGGCAACATCCAAACCAAAGAGGTGCCTACCCGCAACTACTTTGCTCCTCTCAGGGTGACGAGAATGGACATCGACACTCCTGGTGACGGAGCCACTGCGCTGGAGGAGGGAGCCACTACTCTGGAGGTGGATTCATCAGGTAGAGCAGGCAGGCCACCCCCAATAATTATAACGACCACAGTGAACCTCATTCACTTACAAAAGCAACTTAAAAATGTGGTCAGTGGTGACTTTGAGTTCCGTAATACCAAAAGCGGGACCAGAGTCATCACCAAAAGTATGGCGGATTT